ATGTCACTTTATAAATATGAGGAAGACCATTTGGAAAGGTTAAGACATCCCCTTATGATCGGCAAGGAGGACTGAAATGAGGAAAGTGATCTACTCTTAACTCCAAATGTGTCTTCCTAATCATCTGAAGCACTCGCTTTCCTAAGAGGAAAGGCGTGGGCAACATTCTGAGAACAGAGAGGTCTGGCGGCTCCTGAGAGGACCTCACAGAGGAACCGGATGCTAGACGGAGTCCTGAAGATTCACATTTAAGGAGAAGGAGACACAGGGTACCAGAGCCAAAAACAGTAACAACTGGATAAACCAAGGGAAAAAAACAAAAGAAAGAAGAAATAACTTCACTTAGTACATTTAAAAAACAAAACAAAAACCCTCCAGTTTCTGATCTTGGAGTTTGTTTCGATTAGCATCATTTTCTGTGCAGTATGTGTGTAACTATTGAGTTCTTGTGATCCTCAGCGAGGACTATCCTAATTATTACGAATGAGGGAAACCATGGAGCCTGTGTTTGTTTGGGGTCTGGCTTGCTTTGCTTACCCTGTGTATTGTATATACATTTATCTGATTTGGGGAAGGGAAGGGGAACGACAAAATGATGAGAGGAAGGACAGAGGGAGAACCAAAGCAACAGTGATACTCAGGAGACACTGTGTTGGAAATGAACTTTATAGCTTGGCAGGGAGGGGAGTCAGGGGGAGGGAAAGTAGGAGAGAACCATGGAGGAAATATACTCATTACCTTTCTTATGTAACTCCTCTGCGTGTCACCTTTACAATAAAATTAAATTTAAAAATTAAGAAAAAAGGCGACACACGGCTCAGGCTTTGCTCAGGGCCCTGCCGGCACTTATGTGCCGAAGAGGTTGAGGCAGGGAAGCAAAGAGAAGGTCAGCGGGCAAGCAGCATGTCTGTGGAGGAAGATGGCAAAAAGAAACACGGAAATCTGCTCACAGAGGGGGCAGTAGGTAAGCGAGGGGTCCGGTCCGCAGGGTTAAAAAACGGTATACGCATGTGTGCACATCAAGTTGAAGCACCTTTGAGCAGTTAGCACACACTCCAACAAGAGGAGTGTGTGTGTGTGTGTGTGAACATGGAACAGTGAAGCCCGTCCATATTGACTTGGGAAAGGAGAGGAGGAGGAGGAGGGAGAGGGAGACGGCAGGGTCTGATCAAAGCCAGGTGCACACACATACGCCATGTCAGAATGAAACCTCCTGTGAGACTAATGTGATGTGCTGCAGAACCCTTCATATAGCATTTTCTCTGCAGACCTATGGTATGAGAGCACATCGCCAAAATTAATTTATTATTGGGACCTGTTAGAGTGTGTGTATATACACATATAAGCAGATGCATTTTAAAATATAGCCAGACACCCGTGGCTCACACTTATAATCCTAGCTATTCAGGAGGTAGAAATCATGAGAATGATGGTTAGTGTCCAACTCTTGCAAAAAGTTTACCAGATTCCATCTCCATGAATACTAGCTAGGTGAGCTAATGCAAACTTGTCACCCCAGCTATGGTCAGAAATGTATATAGGGGGACCGTGGTCTAGGCACAAAGCAAGATCCTATCCTGAGCATACAGGGATGGGAGCCTGGCTCCAGAAGGCCACCTGCTTAGCAGCCCCAAAGCTCCAGGTTCAAACCCCAGTACCTACAGACGCAGAAAACCTGTATGTATTTATGTATGCATATAAATTAAATTCATACTTTTTTATCCAGCATAGGTTCATAAATAGTTTTACTTTCCTTAGTCTTTTTCATGTAACTAAATGTTAAATAATTTGTTACCATTTGAATAGCTGCCCTTTTTGGATCATGGTGTAGTTACAATTTTTTATGTCCTTTCAAATCCTTCTTAGCAGGGGCTGGGAAGGTGGCTCAGTGGTAGAGTGCTTGCCTTGCATGCATGAGGCCCTGGGTTCAATTCCTCAGCACCACATAAACAGAAGAAGCAGGAAGTGGTTCTATGGCTCAAGTGGTAGAGTTCAGGCTCCATGACTGACAAAAAAAAATCCTTCTTAGTAAAAACATGTTAGAAAGTCAACAAACAATAAATATTCATACAATGTAATTACAAAATCCTTTTCAAAGTGGGCACTGTGGCTCAAGTGGTAGAGCCCTAGTCTTGAGCTAAAGAGCTGAGGGACAGCGCCCAGGCTCACAGTTCAAGCCCCACGATGGACAAAAAAAAAATCATTTTCAGGTTTTTAATGCTTGATTTTAAATGGACCGTTTTAGATCCTGGAAGAACTTAGTAAACATGACTTTCTTGCTCTGTTTTCTTCTTTGGGCTTGTTTCTGTGTGCTGGTGTTTATCTCTGTCTACAGTTGTTATGGATCAGATAAGAGAATGTAGTCATTCCTCACTGATTCCAGAGCACTGAGCCTGGTGCATGTGGCACGTGGTGCTGTCCGCACTGCTGCAGTTGGAGCGTGAGATTGACGGCCAGCACAGGGCTTGGTGACCCTGGTAGCCGCTTGACCTCCATGACACCAGCAGCACCATCTGAACTCTCGCCTGCTGTGATGGAGCCATTACTGAAATCCCATTTCAGATCCAAGGAAAATCAAAACTAATCATGAAAAATACCCACATATTTACAAAGACTCATAAAATATTTAGACTGAGTACTTACACGGAAGGAAACCATTAAGTACTTCTTTGGAAATTCTCTCCGGGGAGTCTTTTTCCCCTTGAACTGTTCTTGCTAAGGCTGCTAATGCTTAAGAAGGGATTTGGAGCAGAGGTGCCATCTCACTTTCTAAAAAGGATGACTTATTCGCAATGAACACGGGGCATGTTCTGAGGTTCTTGTGTCCGCTCCCCGGCTGGCTGATCTCACTGGACAGCAGGCCAGGCTCCTGGAGATTGGGGCCGGCCCGGCACGCCTGGCTTCTGAGGACTGATGTGTTGAGTGGACACGTGTTGGTGGAAGAGTTGCTGGACTGGGAAGACTTCCCTTCTCCATAGTCCTTTCCCTTCCCCTTCTGTGTGAGGCAGTGACAAGCGGGCCCGCAGGGTAGCACTGGACAGGATGGCTCCACAGGAACCCCGGGGGGCCCGTGCGGGCTGGGGGGAGGGGCAGCAGTTCTTTGTGGGCAAAGAATTCTCTGGGGGCCAGCGATCCTTGCAGAGCAGCTCCTGTTCTTGGGCTGTGGTTCTCTGGGGGCTGGAAAAGCGGCAGCCACCACATCTTCAGGGCTTGTCCTCCTCCCCTTGGCCCGTGGCTGCTGCGCTGCCCGGGGTCGGGGGGTGGGGGTGGGGAGGAGGGCCTGATGGCTCCCGGAACAGAGGTCACTGTGTCCGTTCTTACTAGTTAAAATATAGTATTCCCCGAATATAAGCTTTGACATTAACCAAAAAATCATAAGACTGCTAAGTTAAAAAAATGAACAAGATAGATTTCTAAATCCAGAAGTCATCTGTAGGCCAAATTCATGTCCTTTATGGGCTATAAAACAATGCGGGTGTTGTAAACGTATACATGTGCAAAATCTTGTGTACTTTTTGAATTGAGAAGTACCGAGACAGACAATGGAAAAGCCCCATCATATGTTACATCTGTGTACAGACATTTGGACAGTCACAACACCTTCCCTTCAAATCAAACCTCTGCGCGTGGGCCCCCACACACATGCAGGCATGCATACATACACACCAGCCCTTTTCTCTTTCAATTTATTCTTTTTAGTGCCATTTGCTTTTTAAAAATTGTGCTTAGATAACAATTGCATTTCTTGGAGAACAATTTTTAATTTAAAAAAGTTAAAATTTTTAAAAAGGTATCCAAGACTTTAACTTTAAGCTCTGTTACTAAGCTTGCTTCAGTGACAAAGTCGTCACTTCTCCAGGGAAGCACCTGCTTTCTAATAGCTCCAAGCTTAGTGTTTTTTTTTTAAGGGAACCCAGATAAAGTCAGCGTTGAGCCAGTGTTGAAATCTCATTTACCTTAGGTGTTAAGGAGCACAATAGATGCAATACTTTTGAAAGACAGACTGGGAGAGGAAGGCGTGTGTGTGTGTGTGTGTGTGTGTGTACGTGCTCATGCGTGTGCATACACCAATTCAGGAACCAGTTTGGAAGCCACTGGTGGACCTGCACTGTGACTTGGGACTAGATGTGTCATCTGTGCAACTGGGTAGCAAGCAGTGAGTCTGAGGATGGAGGAGGAGACACCGGGTGTGTGCGATTGATTGGTTTGGGCACTGGCAGAGACAGACTCAGTAATGTGTGAACTTATTTAAAACAGTCCCGGGGTCTGTTTGCCCCTGTGAGTGCATGTGGCAGTATAAAGGACCCGTTCATCTTCTGCCAGCAGTGCTCCATGCTGGTGGTTAATGCAGGACTTCATTGCTGAAGAAGATGGGAGGCCCTAACTCACAGTGCTTGCAAGCCTGCAGTTTGTTTTTGTTTGGCTCCCCCCTCCCCCCCACCCCCACCCCCTACCCCTCCAACCCTCCACCTCCCACCCCTCCAGCCCTCCCCCCTCCCCCCCCCAGGAAAATAAAGCCATATAGCAACAGTGTTGCATTGCAGGCCTGCTCTGCTCTGCTCTGTGGTGGGTCTGGGGAGGTCAGTGTCCTGTGTCCTGGGAGAGGCTGGGCAGGCGGCGTCCTCCTGGGACAGTGTTGGTGGTTTGGATGCTCCCTGTGGCCGTTGCATCACTTATGGCCTGCCAGTGTGTGGACCCCTCTGGTGCGGAGGCTTTCCTCTGCCAGTGCCGCTGCGTGTGCAGGCAATTCCTTTTTATACTTTTGAAAAGGTAATCTATGAAGGGCTTGTTGCGGTTTCCATCCTGAAACTAGCATATACTTTTCTCACTTTGTGATGTTTATCCTTTATTTACAATTTTAAAAACTCATATTGTAAAATCCCCTAAGAGAACGCATTGTAAGTGAGCCTCCAATTTGTCGAACATGCATGACATGTTCTGCATTTCAAACCTGTTGGGTTTCTAATTGTATCTCTCCCCCTTCCTTCTCCCTTCCACAGATGAATCGGCTCCTAAGGAAGTCAGCAGGGTGAGTAACGTGAATGTGATTTCTACTAATGTTACCACGGGGCAGGAAACAAATTCGTTTGTATATTTTCTTAGTGTTTTAACGTGTTATAGTGTAAAAAAAATGGCAGAAAACAAGCACCCTCTCCAAAGTACCACTCCACAGTGAATAAAGCCAGCAGAGAGGCTGCAGATTAGACCCCACAAGGCAGATGCAGCAAGCAGATGCATGTTGCTCGGCCTATGCTTGCTGTACTATCTTCTGAATCCATGGCCGACATTTAGAAGCTGAAAGGCAGGCTGGCTGTCTAGATTCTCTTAGCCCAGGTACTAGCAGCAGCACCTGCACCGGCAGCGACCTGCCGCCCCGCACTCTGCACAATAGGCAGCGCTCCACTTGTCTTGTTCTGTTCTCGTAGGCTACTAGGCTTAGCCTGGCTTTCAGGTCAGGCATCCTCTTTTGGGGAGAACAAAAGATCACTCATGTGCTGAGACATGGCGTTGCTCAGCACATTCAGAAATACTCCATGTGTTTTCGTGTGTTAATACTAAGATACTTAGCAAGATTAAACACTGAGTGGGATTAACCAATGGTTAATACAACAGAATGATACGTAATTTCATAAGAAAAAGGTATCTCATTTCTTATACATAGAGATTACATACAGATTAAGTATTGAAAACAATGTTTGAATTGCAGCTGTGCAACCTAATGTAAGGAATCATTCTTTGTAAGATACAAACTGTAATACAGATAAATTCATCTCTGAAGAATGGATTCTCCCAACAACCCAAGCCAGGGAGGGGGGCTGGTAGCTCGGCACAGTTCCTTTGATCAGTAGCCACCTGCACACTCAGTTTCTGTGAGCCTCAGGGTTTGCCAGGGACTTGAGTATTAACCGGTCATCTCTGGAGCTCACAGTGGTAGAGCTGGCAATCTGGGTCCTCCGTGATGTGCCAAAAGGCAGAATTGCCAGAGTTTAGAGTAGAGGGCCAGCGCCCAAGGCCAGGGTTCATCTTTGTGGTCAGCTTAGATCCACCCATGTCTTGGGAGGGAGGAGATGGTCAGTTTGGTTGGAAGTCCCAAAGGTGGGTGCGAAGAGGGGCTGTGTGGACTCCGTGCATCCGTGAGGACGGTGAACAGAGAGGCTGGTGAGGATGCGAATCAGGTAGTTGATGTGGAATGTGGTAAATCTCAGTTACCAGATGTGGATATTTAGGGAGCAGGTGAACTTACGGTCAGGCCCAGGGGCGAATTCCCACGTGGTGGTGCTTATGTGGACATTTACAGTATACAGACACTATTTCAAGATGGAGACAAAGCGTCCACGGAGAGGAACAAAGGTGGGGGAGGGGACGGCGCTGCCCAGCAGGTCAGCGAGACCGCCAGGTGGGAGGAGGGTGCTCACGCCTGCATCAGCATGCTTGCTTTTGCAGTTTTAGCTGGAGGACTGCATATTTATTTCAATTTTACTTCAGCTGTTTTGAACCTACCCTATTGGGATGAGCCGTCTTCATTTTACTTCTGTTGACTGTTACGTTATCTATTTTGCTCTCCATGCACTTGAACAATTTCTGTGGAAGGATATTAAACCAACGTCTTTTGATCAGTCTGACAAATTTCCTAACCGACATTATCATCATCATCATCATCAATGTGATACTAATTGAGCCTTATTTTTCTCTGTGGTTGGGACCCATGAACAAGAAACCAGACAGAAATTTCTGCCTCTGGGCATGTGCATGAGCGAGAGCGGTCCTCTGGGGTCAGTGGTGGAGAGTGTTGCGGCCCCAGGCACAGGGAGAGCAGGGAAGCTGCTGCCCGACTGCTGGTGGAGGCTCGCCAGACGTGTTCCAGGGAGAGCCTGAAGGAAGTGAGAGGTGGAAGGGCACTGCGGGCAGGAGGCACGGTGGCCCAGGCGGGGTATTCTCAGCGCAGCCCGGTGTCTGTCCTGCTTCTCTGTAAGGGATGAGGGAAAGTCCCAGCCTGAGGCACCAGGTACAGGGCGATTTGAGAGACACAGGGTCAGTTAACATCTTTGCAGTTTGTTTTTATTTCATCCACCCCATTAGACCTGTGTTTTACTATTACTGTTACTGTTTTGTGGTTGTTAAATGGTTACATCTTACAAGCAAACAAAAAAACGATTCCTGATAAGACCAGGGAGAGAAAATGTCAATGGGAGGGAAACCACATTCCAGGTTCTGGAACACTTATACTCTAGTCAAGTCTGGGGTTCTTGGGGACCTCCCGCCACTACCTCCCTGTACCATGGTAAACAGGATGTGAAGGAGAAATCTGCTTCCCTTCCAGCGTTTTCCTTAGTAAATGGCATTTTGTAATTTCTGGGTAGTTGCGCAGGTCCATCATGTGATCTTGCCTTTTCTAGGTTCTGTGTAAATGTGTTCACTTTCATTAGTCAGCCTAGTGTGTGGGGCACGTTCTCACTTTTCTCTCGTTCGCAGTATCTAGTTGAGGATATTCTCGTGCCTAGTTTCTTGGTGTGTTGATCCTTCCCAGGTTCCTTGTTCTTTTGAAGATGTCTGAAGGCCCTCAGTCATCTCTGCCTCGGTCTGTACACATCCAGAAGCTCTCCTCAGCTGGACCCTGTGCAGCTGAGTTCCCGCCGCAGCCCGTAGGGTGTGGCTGAACTAAAAAGACCAGCACAGCCTCTCATTTCAACCTGTCTTGTCTGCTCACTGATAATTTTTTGTTGTGAAAAACAAATGTTTTTCCTAGAATTTGTTTTGCATGTCCTTCCTCCAGTGAAAATTCACTTTCTTGTTGGACTGTGGTGGTGTATGCAGTTTCTTCACTTTCTTGTTGGACTGTGGTGGTGTATGCTGTTCCTTCACTTTCTTGTTGGACTGTGGTGGTGTATGCAGTTTCTTTCTGGGTGTGCCGTGTGTCCACTGTGCACTGTGCTAGGCCCCTGGGGATGCCTCTCACCTCTGCTGACCTCGGGCCGCTTGGCCACCAGGTAACGAGGCCCAGCTCTCGGTGACTCCACCAGGGTCTCCAGGGATTTGGAGCCGTGGATCTTCCCTGGGGAGTGGGGACTGATTTTGTGACTTTTATATCTGGGTTGATTGAAACAAATGCCTCCATTTTGTCTTGGCTGTTGGCGTGGACTGTGTTCGTGTCACTCAGCAGTGCTGTGGTCCCAATGAAAGGCGGTTCTGCTCACCCTGGCAGTGAGCCGACGCTCTTCTGGGCTTCCGGTCGGTTCTGTCGGTGGTCAGGGTGTCCTCTGGGCTTCTGGTCAGTGTGCCTCTGTTGTAGACATGGCGGGAACTTACATCCAGCTCTAGCCAAATTGAATTAGGACCCCATGTCATTGTTTTCCCCATTTTTTTTTTTTGGCCTCTTAGACAGTGTCCTTTTCTTGGCCCATTTTGATTTGTCTTGGTTTGTACTTCGTCCAGCCAGGTTTTCTTGACATTCTTAGGACAGAGGCAGCCCTCATTGTCCAGTTTTGTTACTAACTCAGCTTTTCTTCCTAATCTTTACTTTTTTTTTTTTTTGCTAGTGTAGTAAGGTGAGAAGGGAGAAGATCTCACAATGACAACTTTTAAGTATTCGTTTTGCCTAGAGTAGCTGGAGTTTCTTTTTGTTCAAGTAAATAAAAGCTTATACTTGCATTATGGTCAGTCTTACACTGTGGTATCCCAGGAAGTGCCCTCCAGGGAGGGAATTGGAGTAAAGCCTTGCTCCTTCCTGGAGGGGAGCCTGCGAGTGGACGGGAGTGGGCTGCTGCACTGGCACACAGGCCAGCCCGGCAGCCCAGAGGAGTAGGAAGGTGATGGATCTGGAGGCACAGGGACCCCAGGGAAGGGAGGCAGGCAGAGCTGGGGCAGGTGGGGCTCCGCGCTCTACCTGAGAAGGAAGCACTTAAAGCACAGCATGAGGTTTTTGTAAATCTGCTCACTTTCTTTCCCTTGTTCCTCTTTCTTCATATCAGTGTCAGAATCTTAAGCTTTTACTGGACACAGATTGGTTTACTTAGTTGAGTTCACTTTGCTTTGTAACAGTGTTGACACTCAAAGTTTAGAATGTCAGATAAAGCCCTAACAAATCGGCAGTTGAAAACAATAGATTTTTTTTTCCTATCAGAATGTGCTCAGTACAAACCTGCAGTGCGAGCGCAATTCTAAGTTGTGCGCCGATGGAAACACGCATCTGTGAAGCTCAGCCTCTTTGAGGAGTAGTTTTGTGATGTCACACAAATCATCTCTTGGTGGTGGTGTTCAAATCCTTTGCGTTCATTTGCTTTATGTATATTATATTGCCTTTTTCTGAAACTTAACCCCGTGGGCTCCACTGTGGGGTGAGGAGCACGATTGGAGGACATTGCTGCTGCAAGGCATGGAGGGCTTTGAGGGTCAGCTCCTCCAGTGGCTTGTTTCTCAGAAAGCAGAGTGAACCATACACCAGTCCACTGACACAATAACTGCTGGCCTGTGGGATTTCACACACAACTTGAGCAACCTCTGCTCAGCTGTGATCATAATTAGGAGCCACCATTCCAGTCACTGAACTGGAGACGTAATATGCCTAGCTTTTGTATGGATCTGTTTGGGAACAACATGTATCATTGCCTTAAATGAATGGACGGCTTCAAAGCAAAAGTTCCTGGGACTTATAGAAATAATTAACCCGTCGACCAGTTAATTATTTTGAAGGCAGGCCTTCCTGTGAATGGAAAATTTTAAAGGCAGAATTGCAGTCATCTTTCCAGTGCTCACTGACGTCTGGTCAGGTTTTTTCCTTAAATAAGTGTGTGTGGTTTGTTTTTTTTGCCGGGGAGCGGTTGTTGTGGGACTTGAACTTAGGGCCCAGGCATTGTCCCTGAGTTGTCTCCCCCCTCCCTCCCCCACTGAAGGCTAGCACTCTACCACTTGTTTTCTGGTGATTAACTGGAGGTAGGAGTCTCATGGACTTTCCTGCCTTGGCTGGCCTTCAACCACAATCCTGTGATCTTGACCTACTGAGGAGTTAGGATTCTAGCCGTGAGCCACTGT